GGAAGGAGGAGGGTGGTTGTACTTGGGTGGTGTAAGATTAAAAATAAAGAATTCTTTAAGTGCTGTCTAAAATTTAAACACAATAAATTAGCCAGAGCTGCTCTAATTATAGCACTGCCCTGTCTTGTGTATCAGTGTATTGACAAGCTTTAGTTCAAGTTTGCAGTGCAGAGGCACTGCATCCAGGAACTCTTTACCAAAGCACAGCATGACTTTGCTCTCAGGGAAGCAGCCTTGACTGCAGTAGAACTGCTCCAGCTCTCGGAATAACCGGTCGGTGTCGAAGTTGCCACTATAAACTACAGATGATGTGCTGTTCATGTCCATGAGCTAAGGCAACAAAAAAGGCACTTTTGGGAGCAATAAACTCCAGCGTGAGAAGCACCAGAGTTTATTGCTTTGCATTAATTGCATGTGTAGATGTGTCCAGTGTGGTTCAGATACAACCTGGGCACTTTTACGCATGCTCCAGGGGTGGGGTGGTGGTGCTTTCATCAAGACGGCTCTGAGAGCTGCTCTAATTATAGCACTGCCTCATGTATCAGCGTATTGACGAGCTTTAGTTCAAGTGCCCCGCTGCCATTTTTAAGCACTGGGACACTGATACACAAGACACCGGAGGCTGCTGGAGTGCAGTAATTACCACACTCCAGCAGACTTGATTAACTGTGTACAGGCAGCCTTGACTTCTAACTTCTCAAAAATGCTCTGTATACAACACTTCTTCTATAGGCCTCAAGACAGGATCCAGCCTGCAGGTAATACTGTGGGGATGCTGAAGTGCCAGAACTCCAAGATTTGCACACACGTACATAAAAATACATGTGCACACATTTCTTCCCATCTCCAACCACAAGTGTACAACAGTCTAGCTGAATGGTGGCACAGGTGAGATTAAAGGTAACCAATTCTAGGATCATCTAAAGACCACCATGAATTTACTATTGCTTGTGCTCTGAAAGCTACTGGCGTGAACTAGCGATACTGGTGCTGTCCCCACTGAAGGGACAGATATCTGTGCTTTATATTACAATGCTTCTCCTAAATTGCAATGAGTGTTCTAAGAAAAAACATCAGAGAATTACCTAATTTTAGGGGTTTGCTTTTCTTTAAAAAAAAAAAAACAACAAAAAATAGATAAACCACTGGGATTTATGAGTAAGATATGCTTCGCAAGCCCTTTGATAAAAAAAAAATATCTCTTTCTGTCCATTAACAAGTCAAAGCTATATGGTGCATGTAACCCAATTTCCTTAATGTATGCTTGCCTTCATACACACACACACACATCAATACCATTACAAATAAACAAATACACATGTGAATAAGCAGTAGGCCTGTGAGAAGCGGCTAGTATTCACTTTGGATTCGAATGATTCAGGGGACAGTGATTTGGTTCAGTGATTCGAATCACTGTCCCAAATCGACTTGTCCAAATCTCACTCCCTGAACTTACCGGCTGCTGCCAGAAGGCTGGGGAGGCACTGCAGTGCCCTGTGCTATATTGGGGAGCTTTGCCACGAGCCTCCAGAAGCCCCGACGCCTGATGCAGCAGCGAGTGCAGGATTTTTTTTTTAAAGAACCGGCAGCTGGGGCTAGGGGGTCAGCCTGGGAAAGGCTGGGAGAGCGGGCAGTGGATGGGGGCTCGTGGCAGTGCCCCCCACACAGTGCGGGGCAGTGGGGGGCAGCGGGGATTGCTCCTCCACCTGGCGGGAGCTGCTGAGTGCAGGGCTTTTTTATTTTTTAAAGAGCCAGGAGCTGGGGCTGAGCAGGGCAGCCACTGATGGGGCTGGGAGAGCAGGCGGGGCTCAGGGAGTGCTCAGGGGTCTGGCATCAAGCCCCATTTGTATGGCTTGATGCCACACGTTTCACATTTCAGATCAACGTGGCAATTCCTTTCTATTCTTCTTCAATTTTTACAACAAATGTGTAACTAGATGTTGTCAAAACATCGTGGGTAGGGATCTGTATAATTCAGTTGGAGAATCTCACAAAATGTCACCCTCCTTCCACCACTACAAACAATGTTCTGGGTTCTAAGCTTTCATATTTTAAAATAATTAATTTTTCACTGATCACTTGTATTTTGATGGTATCCAGAAGCTTCAGTCAAGATGATATCCCCTTCTTCCTGGGCACTGCACAACCACATGCTAAGAGACGGAATCTATTCTAAACAGCTTTAAAATCCAATTTAAAACAAGGCTCAATGACTATAAATAAACAAAAGGAAGACTAACGTTACAGCAATAAGAACACATGATGGGAGACGATCTACTTGCCAGTATTTTTTATTATAAAAATTAAACAATAAATCTGTAACCCTTTTGTTTAAAAAAAACAACAAAACCCCTTTTGGAATGGCAAAGAGCGTAAATCAGTTCAGCTGTATTCCTGACTCAGAACATGCTCAAAATTTATGATGTTAACCTTTCCCACTCATCCCAATAAACATTGATTTTTAAAACTATTAATTACTTCAGTCTCTCATTTTGGCAGAAATTTCCTGAAAATCCAGTTCCTAAAAGCCTGAACTCCCACCCCATCTCCCCAGCTCCCAACATCACCAGCTTATCTGTAATAATGTCTACAGTGTAGTTGTGCTGGAAATATAAAAATCCAGTAGCACCCTACATTTTAGAGGCACAATACAACAAGTGCTATTTGACAGGAAAAACAAACAATAGAGAGAAACACTTTACTGCTGGTTTCACTTCATTTCATATTGAAATCAATTTCTGAATTTTAACTGAAACCATTACAGAAGTCATCACTGAAGTGCAAGAACAAGGCAGCCTGGCAGCAGAATTTAGCACCAACAGACTGCTGCAGAGTCCACAGGACCTTAGGATGGAGTAAGACAGAAGAACAAAAGTCCAAGTATAGAGAGGCTTTGGTCTCATGCTGGATAACGTAATGTCTCCCTTGTCTACAAGCTTTGCTTAGTGAGCAGGGAAAGTCTTCTGGTTAGCAAGAAAGGGGACTACAGGGATCAGTAAATCAACCATGAGTAAGCCTATTCAGCAGGCTTCCCCCAAAGAGTTGTGTAGGCTTATAACAGTTGCTGGAACAACTGAATGAACTAAAGTGGCAGCACTAGAAGAGTACCTAAGGATCAATACATAAAGCAAGAGATGGGATATTTTATATTTCTCATATTTGTCTGGAATTCAATCTTATACGCAAACAGGTTTTGCCACTAATTAGCAGGGTTAACTGAATCTCGGAGAGCCAAATTACACTTGCCTCCCCTGGGGTGTGCAGTGCATCTGTATACTTTTTCTAAAGTAGGTTCAGGTTCCACAAATCTAGCATGTGTATACTTGCATCCTCTTTACTCTGCTTTAGACATGGAAGATTCCAGATACAGCCTAAAGAGAACATACAAGCATGGAAAACCTAGGCTCCAGTTTGGGCATATTCCCTTAATTTTCTAAAACCTTGAGGCTCTCAGTTAACAGCAGCTGCAAGTGTATTTAAAAGCAGGTACTTAAGCCCTTACCCTCTGCATATTAAGAATCTTAGTGAAGGATAATTTGAACCAAATCCTATCATGCATAAAAATAATGAATGAGAAGCTTTCAATTCCCCATGCTTAAATGTTGTACATATGGAAAAGAAAGCTTAAGGACAATCAAATATCAAACCTACAGATTGAATGGAAGGGAAAATACATGAAGCAATAAAGCACTCACAGCACACAGTGCCTTTCATTTAACATCTCAGAGCAGCTTGCAAACATTACTAGATGCTTTGGAAGATTTTCTTCCTCCCCAAAGAACCAATTAAATCACCATACACCCTGTCTTAAAAAGTCACCCTGAAGACCAGGAAACAAATGTGGTTAATATGGGTGGCTGGAAGGGTCTAACAAAACTGTACTTTAAAAGTACCCACACGTGATTTCCCAGCAACCTCCTAAAAGGCAGGGTCACCTTTGAAGGTCATGATTTAAGTATAGGTGTTAATGCCCATTGTAAAATTTATACCTTCAAGTTTTAGGTAACTGGAAATGTCTATCTTTTGTCATCTTTTTTCTATGTCCCAGCATAATTCTGGCTTCTTCAAACATCAGTACAGAAAACAGAGAAATACATTACTCCATAATGAAAGCTGTATCAAGAAATAAGTGCTTTGAGGTGAGATGAGAAAGAGAGAGAGAGAGAGAGAGAGAGAGTCACTCTCTCCTAGATGGAAATGTGTACTCACAACCCTTCCATTTGTATTTCCCATAATTATTGCTATACTTCCACAGGATCCACCTATCTTAAACAAACCTACCATGTGGTAGCGTTATGTTTGCACCATCAATGATCGCTTGTGCCAGTTCATGATCATTGCTCTCAAATGCATGAGCAGCAGCCTTGAGGGCATCCCAAATTTCCTTACGACCTTCAAAAGCTGGTGCCGTGTCCCAGAACTCATCTCTTTTACTGCGCAACTGTCCATCTGTCATCGGGTAATCACTTTTCCATTTTGGTTTCTCCTTTTTCAGGGGCTGATTGCGACCTAAAGCAACTGTGAGGAGAAAAAAAAACACACACACATACATTAAAGTCAATTTGGTTTTTAGTTCTCAGCAGCTTTAGCCTTCTTTCTGGAGACCCAGATCTCCGGTCTCCCCTGTGCTCCCTACATTGCTTTAATCTGTTTTTAAGGATATTTATTTATTCCAAAAGTCTCTGCCCTCAGGCTTTACTCCTTAGCTTTTTCAAGGGTTTCTCTTCCATTATCCAATTATACCTGCCTCTCTGACTCTCTCTATATTCCCTGGGAGCCCTAAAAGTTCCCTGTAAACTCCCTGGTAACTTTGTGCCTCTGCTACTTATACCATCTGCTACAAGCTGCATGACTCATCCCTAAAACAATAGAAATCTTTCAGCATGCTACAGCAGCAATATAGTGAGAGAAGCATATTAACTAGAAGCACCCCGCTGTCAGAGGGAATATTGCATCAGGATCTTCCATTTCTGTACAGTGAGCAATGAACACTGCACAACAAATGATGCTTGCTACTAAACACAAGAGTTTTATAAAGCAAAGAATTTTTGCATCACTGTGCATCTCGTTTGCCTTTCAGATTTCATAGACATTAGGGCTGGAAGGGACCCCAGAGGATCATTGAGTCCAGCCCCCTGCCCCAGGGGCAGGAAGTCAGCAGGGATCATAGGATCCCAGCAAAATAAGCATCCAAATGTGTCTTGAAGGCGTTCATATATTGAGCCTTTAAATATTTAAACTCTGAGGCTAGCAACTTAATGGATACATGAAGATCCCTAAAAAAAAGCCAGTTACTTGACCAGCTTTCCCATATTGGATATTTCGTTTATATGACATATTTGCTTCACTTTAACTAAAAGCTATTTTCATATACAAGTCAGCTAAAAAGGATAACACAGGCTTTATGATATGACACTATTAGATCTATCCATTCAAGTTTGGTTTGCGCATTGGGACAAACATTTAACAAAAAGGCTATTTCAAATACTGTCCAAGAACATTGTTCAAGGATATTTTGGAGAGCAAGGTATTTCAAGGTTTCCTGCTGACAAGAGCAGAATTATAGAGGCAGAATTATTGAGGCAGAGCAGAGGAACTGCCCAATATGCAAGCATGTGCTGGTGATCAAAGACAAATATCACTTTGGGTTTGCTGACATGTAGCCCAGCAGTCACTGTTAATGTAAGAACGTTGGAGACCCTGGTTTAAAAAGGCCAGGAATTTCCCAAATACACTGGTTCTACCAAGGAGACCAAGCATATGCTTGGGACTCAGACGGTTTTTTGTCCTGAATGCTATTTCAGAAAATAAAGTTAAAATTTTGGGTTGTCACAAAAGTGCACTGGGATTTTTACAGTGCCCCTAAACTGCATAACTCCTGCACTGTAGACAAAAGAGGGCATAGTGGAAAACTTCCTTTCACATAAGGAAAAAGAGCCAACTTGCATGTGTAAAAATTGAATTTAAAACATTTCTGGCTGCAGCAACCCCATAAAAATGGGTCATTGTCTTGCAACATGTAGCAATATGTGGAAAACAAGCAGTGAAAAGCAATAAAAATAATTCCCTTTCTGGTGCAATACCACAGGACTTTGAATACTGTACAGTATTTAATGTTTCTGTAGGGAACAAATGTTCTTCATTCATTAACCCAAATTTAAAGATGTTCTTTGAAGCTGAACAAAATATTTTAGATGTGGGGCATGGATGCATGGCTGGTGAGAAAAGCTGACGTCCGTCTCTTATGAACAGCACTCTACATGTAGCCCCAACCAGTAAATCTACTCCATGTGATTTGGGAAGACTCCCAGTGACATATTCTTGGGAGAAAGAACCCTAACATTTCCAGTACTATGATGAAACCACAAAATTCTCCATCTGGTTAAGGAAGGCAATAAAAGACTTAATTTGTCCTCTCACGTCTGCAATACAGTGGCCAAATTGTCTCTGATCAAAATAAGGCTCTGCAGCTGCTATGCCGTCAAGACCCAGTTAACAGAATTGTTTCTGCTTAACAGAGCTCCTGATTATTAGTCTTCAAAAATCTCAGAGCACTGATGTAAAAAGCAGGAATGTTTATCTACAGTGCTCTAAATATGCACATCCACCAGGGGTGATGTGAGTGACATTCCCTTCCCCACACCCTGATCATTTTGGTAAAGGTTAGGGCACCAGCAAAGCAAAAACACATTTCCGTCTCAACTGTACTCCACAGATGTTGATGCTTTAGATCTTCTTTTAAGTGTGAAAATTCTTCAAAGCATCCAATCCTGTACTCAAAGGCTCCATATGTTTACAGCCAACCACAAGTCATTTTTCTATGGGAGTCACTAAGGTTTTAATGTAATGCAAAGAGCTGGAACAACAAATCATTATGAAACGTTAAGGAGAATGGTAAGTAACTGCAATCAGGAAATTTGCTAACAGATCTAAATGAAAATGTTACTTTCTGGTAAGATACAGTAGTTACATTTGCAATGAAATACTATTTTCTACCAGCTTGTACTTTTCTACCTTAAATGTACCTCTGGTGGCAGAAATTCTCTCATACTTTCAACAAGTAAGGGCTAGATGTTACTTTAAAAAAAAAGTGAAATGCCTTCAAGTGCTGACAGAAGGTGGAATCCACATACATTATCTGCCCCCATTTTTTAAAGGAAGTGTTTAAGCGGTTTTAGAAAAGCAAACAGGATTCAAAATCAAACAGGGCCTAATTTATTCAGTGTCTATACTTGCAATGTAGAAAGAATTCTAACTCCCCCCTTTTTTTTTTTTTTTTTAAAGAACCACCCAATATTACTTCTTGCTTGCCACTGGCTGTGCAAAGTCAAATTGAAACGCCAACTACTAATTCAAAGTCGCATACATTTTGTAGAACCTGGGACTGTAGTTCATTAAAAAATGAGATATTTGCAAGAATTTCAAACATGAAGGTGAGATTTTTCCATTATACATAAGTATTGGAAATCTTCAGATTACAAAAAAAAAAAGTCAAGGGAAACATGAGAATTGCAACCAAGTCAGATAATGAAAAAAGAATCAGAAATAGCAAAAATGAAATCACTAGAAAGCCAAAGGAAAGAACAGCCCATACACTGTTTAAACTGCTATTGTGTATCCTATACAGAAAGATGCAAAGCTGATGTTCTTTTGGAAGTTAAAGCAACTGTATACATTTACTGCTTTTCAGTTCACACAGGACTGCTGTCATTTGATTTTAAATGTGATGACCATATACCAGATTTCAGAACAGCCAGCATAGCTGCTTACAAAACAGACACAGAATTCAATGGCAAAGCCCAGATGTTAACTTTCTAAGACTTTGCTGAGCACAAAGGCTAAAAGCTAATGACGTTTCAGTTTGGAAAAAGAGTGACACATTCAGTGCAGACAAAATGGATTTTGCAAGTTTGTTAGGAGACAGATTTTGAAATGCTACAAGACACAAGCTTATTAAAACTTTTCAGCAATAAGAAAAATGCTTCCTGAATAGCAGATTGCAGATAGGACATGAAAAATACACCTTAACAGTTAGTTTTAAAAGGCCAATAAAATCCACCTGGGTCAGTGGGTATTTAATATTAGTTGGCCTAACCTTTGTTTCCATATATACTCAATGAATGCTAATTTATCTCAGAGGATCTTCTCCCTCCTCCCCAAAACATTAATTATGAAAGTGGGTTGCAGACACTTCCTGCAGTGCCTCAACACTATCACTTATCTTCAGGAAATACCGTGGTCTTTACTGCAAGCCATCCAACAATGTCTAAGAGCACTGAAATAACCAGTTTCTTCCACTCTAACACCCCAGTTTGGTTCTTCCTCTCTTTCCAACTCTACTGGTCTACACCAGATTAGGAGCATAGTGAGAGAGATCTGGTCTTCCTGCTTTACTGCCACTCTAGAACATCCGGTCTCTGACAAGAAGATCCATCCCATGTGGGCAACAGAGTCATGATACATCCCATGATTACCATTTCATTTTTAATGCTGAAGTTCAGGCTGGAGAATGGTGCCGAACTGTGAACAATTTACAAGCCATATCAGTGCAAAATGAATGTGAATCAGCTACATATCCCATGGTCTATCCTTGGAGCCCCCCTTCAACTGAACTGGTCTATATTTAATAAGATACCTAGTATTTCTATTGCTCATTCCACTAGGAGCTTCCTAGTGCTTTACAAATATTAAAGCAAGTCTTATTCCACCCATTACACATTTTTTGTAATAGAGGATTACATAAAAATATTTGATATAGGGATTAGGACCCTGATGTCTTAGTCCCTGGCTCAGTGCTTTCACTGGGCAAAGATTCTACTAAATGGACTTGATATCAAGGAGCTGTTTCATGTAAGCAGTGAGTGCTGAACTGTATTTCGGAGCAGATGAGCCTGTAATTTCCTGGAAAAAAAAAAAAAAAAAGCTTGTGACAATTTCTGATTGGAATAAGCAGTGAAATAAGCAGTATTTTTAGATGGTTAATGTTTGTGTCATAATAAATTTTGAGAGTGACAGTTTATTTTTTCTTTTCTTGGGTAAACGAAGTTTGAAAAAAAATATGCAGACTTTGAGGCCATGTACGTCACAGGCACTACCAGCTTGTAAAAGCTGGAATAAGAAGCAATTCCTACATTCATTTTTCATGTTACATCACTTAATACTAAAAAATGAATATTTTGTTATGAAAGAAAGAAGTACTTGTCCCTAAAGGCCAAAAAAGATCTTTTTGCTCTCTGAAGCAACGTTATAAATGACCCATTTCTTGAAATTATGAAACGCAATTTTTTTTAAAAGACTTATTTACAGTAGCAATACAAAAAGGACATTATCAGACCACTTTTGGTGTGGAATACTTTTGTCTGTGACATCTGACACCATTTTAGCATATGCCTGATTTGATTGTTCTTCTTGGAGACGAGCACATTAGGTAATAAAGCATATTTATTAACTGACATTTAAGCAAAATTCTTGCTTGAACAGCTTCCAACTTTAAAAGTGGCATTCTAAGACCCACAAGAGTCAAGATCATTGTGGACAACCAATCTGCAGCCAAACTGATTATAAAAAAACATTACAAACAATTTATACCTACCAGAAAAAAAACCTCATGGCTGTGTC